CGGCTCCGGCGCGGATGGGTTCGGGCTCGGCGTCCGGGCGTCCGGCAGGGCGGGGGCAGCGGAGCCGGCTCGGCCACCGCGCTAGGCGCGAGTGACAGACCTAGGGCGGAGGGCGGGGCCGCCGGTGGGGATGAGGTCATGCCCGGCGAAAAAAGCCCCTGACGTCACCTGCAGCCAATCAGCGCTCGCGGCTCAGGGGCAGGTGACGTCAGCCGGAGCCCCGGCTGCTGGTGGAGATTAGAGGCTGCGTCCGGCGGTCGGGGGGGAACCGGGGTGCGGGTCTCGCCGCTGCCTCAGCGGTCGCTGCCGCCGCCGCCCTGCGCCCTCGTCCCAGACAGACTCTTAAAGGAGCCACGCGGTGCCCCATACCATGCTCACGACCCCGTGGGCCGGCGATTTGTGCCCAGGGACGCCACCTCCAGGAAGCCTTCCTGGGCGCAGGGCTCTGCGTCTCCCGGGACCCCTTTGCCTTGCCGCACTCAGAGCCCCGACGGCCTGGACGCGGAGTGCCCTGCTTGCCGGCTGAAGCTGGCGCCGGTTCCCTTTCTCTGCGCAGCCTTTGTTTGCGCAGGGCCGCCTCCAGGAGAGCCTTCCCAGCCCGCTGCCTGGTGTCAAGTCTGGCCAGGCCCCTTGCCTGCCACATCCACGTTCCCCCGCTCCAAGACCCCCAGAGGTGGAAGCCCCATGCCGCTTTGCCACGGAGGTAGTTGGAAGCTCAGAGGCGACATAGTTAGCCTCAGGTCACACATCCTGTGAACTCGGGTCAAGGGGGAAGTCTCGAGAACGCTTGGGCGCTCTCTCGGTGCAGCGCTGGCTCCAGCCCCCGGGACAGCCAGCCTTCCACCCTTCCCGGGAAGAGCTGCCTCTGCACAGCCCTCCCCGCGCCCACCCTTACAGCCCTGTGAAGGCTGTCCAGTGTTCGCCTCCCGATGACCCCGGTGAGAACATAACCGGGCGGCGTGGACGCCGAGAGTCCGGGTCATGAAGACACAGGTAATTACACGGGCACATGTGGGCCAGAAGCATACAGGGGCGGGACAGATGCTGGAGTGAGTGGGCAGTCAGGCCACCGCGGGGAGCAGTGGCCGAATGTAGAGGCAGTGCTGATGCTGGGGGAGGAACACAGCAAGCCGGGCAGGCAGGTCCTGGGCTTCTCCTGGGGACCAAGGCGAGGGTGCTCCTGCAGTCCTTGTCTATTGACTCTACGAATGTTTGCCGGGATCTTTTCTGAGCTGGGCCCTGCTGCTGGACTTTGAAGACAGAGGTGGAGGAAGGGCTCAAGGAACAGTTTCAGGACAGCCCAGGAGCCCTGGGACACTTTGAAGGTAATTATTTGGGGGAGTGTGACTGCCCCCTTCCTCACTGCATGATGGAAAGCGAGGGTAGTTCACCTTCCATCCTGAAATCTCCAAGCCAATTCAGCTTCTCAGGGTAACCCTGTGTCTCTGAGAGGGTCATTGCCCTTGCTCTAGAGAAGGATGTTGGAGGTGCCCCTCAACTGTTGCAGGTTGAACAAAGTATCACAGAAAGTCAAGCAGGCACACCCCACCAACTGGCTTGTCCCCTCCAGCCAGGTGGGCACTCAGGCTGGGACAGAGGAGGTGCTGGACAGGCTCTGGCATCCTCCCAGTTCCCATGCTTGGTCTTTTTTTTTTTTTTTTTTTTTTGAGACAGAGCCTCAAGCTATCCCCCTGGGTAGAGTGCCATGGCATCACAGCTCACAGCAATCTCCAACTCCTGGGCTCAAGCGAGTCTCCTGTCTCAGCCTCCCAAGTAGCTGGGACCACAGGCACCCCCCACAACGCCTGGCTATTTTTTGGTTGCAGCCGTCATTGTTGTTTTTTGGCGGGCCCGGGCTGGATTCGAACCCGCCACCTCAGGTGTATGTGGCTGACGCCTTAGCCACTTAAGCTACAGGCACCGAGCCCATGCTTGGTCTTCCTACCAGGCTGTGCCACCCTCAGCATCCCAGCTCTTCAGGTAGTTGGCAATTTAGTAATTGCTTGTAGCTCTGCTCTGTCCCTGAGAATTCAGTGGTTGTGTGTCTGTGGAGTGGGGTGGTGAGTGGTGGAGTGTCCCAGGGTCAGGCCCAGCACACAGACCAACAATGGGGTGGGGTGGGGGTAGAAGTCCCCCCAAAGGAAGCCCTGGGGTCCAAGGGTCATTAGGCGCTGGAACTGGGTTTCAGTCTTTCCTTTCTCCCTGCCCCAGCCTGGCCTGGGAGGAAAGGGCCCAGAAGAAGGGGGGCCATGACTGGAGGGGGACCATGAGGCTGCAGGTGCCACACACCAAGATGTGTGACCAGGTGAACCTCAGGCCTCAATGGGTAAGGGTCTGAGTAAAGAGAGGCTGTGGCCTGAGAAAGGGACCAGGCAGCCAGAGGGGATTCCTGAGGAGGCAACAACACACCTGGACCTAGGAATGGCACTGTCACTGTCAGATGTAAGAGCTGTCCTCTGGGGGATTTCACCTGGAGGAGATGTCTGACCTGGAGTGAGGTCATCACTGTCAGAGGAGCTGTGGGGGGCAGGGCAGGGGTCACCTGGCTTGATGCCTGACCTGGCTTGCTGTCCCTGCCAGGCCCATGTGCAGCTCCGTGGAAAGGGGAAGAAGGTGTTGCTGGGGGCTTCTCTTTTGCCCAGCCAGGATGTGGTCAGGGTCTACAGGTGGCCTGAGAGCATACATTATTCTTTAAGATCACTATTTATGGGCAGTGCCTGTGGCTGAGTGGGTAGGGCACTGGCCCATATACTGAGGGAGGCGGGTTCAAACGGAGCCCTGGCGAAACTGCAACAAAAAAAATGGCCAGGCATTGTGGCAGGCACCTGTAGTCCCAGCTACTCCTGAGGCTGAGGCAAGAGAATCGCCTGGGCCCAAGAGTTGGAGGTTGCTGTGAGCAGTGTGATACCATGGCACTCTACTGAGGGCAATAAAGTGAGACTCTGTCTCTACCAAAAAAAGAAAAAAAAATCACTATTTATATCCTGGGCAGTTCCTAGCTGGCCCTGAGCAGATGGCAGGTGGTGACCTGGAACTTCTTGGGAGGGAGGGTGGCACACAGCTTGCCTGGATGTCTGGTCAGTCCCTGCCTAGGGGAGTGCCCTGGGCAGGGCAATTCTTCTGTAATTGCAGTGTTCATTTTTCTTTCATATAGGCACTTAAAACCTTAAGTTTTGCCACCCACTAGTCTGGAGGGACAGGAAAATAATCACTCTACAGCCCCCCAGCAGCCCCCACCCCTATCCCTGCAGTGGTTGGTCAGTTGGGGGCTGACCTTACACACACCGCACCAGGTTAGTTCAGTGCTATCCTGCACAGGTGTGCACAGGAGTAGGGGCCACCACATTGAAGAGGCCTGCTGCTGGGCCCTACCACCTGTCCTGAGGCGGAGGAGGCGCCCAAGGAGCTGCTGGGGCGGGGGCGGGCGGAGTAGCTCCGTACCCGGGTGCAGGTGGACCTGAGCTGTGGCGGGCGATTCGCATGCGCCCTCTGCCGTCCGCAGGCCGCCATCGCCTGTCCCGTCACAGCTGGGAGGATGTCCAGTCTCTTAGCACTCTTTCTGTACCCAGGGAAAAGTGAGGTTCTCTTTCCTCATTGATTTGCATTCATTTGTTTCAAGTAATGATATGTGGTAATCATCGGTGCCATTGTATTTCGCATTAAGTTAAGGCATAGTTAATGCAATAAAATGCTCATCTCAGGGGTTCAAGTATTTTTTTCCTGGTTATTTGTTATAAAAAAAAGTCATTTTTAATTGTGTTAAAATGCATACAACATAGAATTTACCATCTTAATCATTTTTAAGCATACCCTTGAGTGGCACTGAGCATGGCCACGTTGTGCAGCTGCCACCACCATTCACATCTAGAACTTTTTGTCTTGTAAAACTAAAGCTCATTGCGGGGGCTTCAGGCCTAATGCCTGTAATCTCAGCACTCTGAGAGGCCAGGATGGGTGGATTGCTTGAGCTGAGCAGTGTGAGACACCAGCCTGAGCAAGAGTGAGATCCTGTCTCTAAAAACAATGCCTGTAGTCCCAACTACTTGTGAGGCTGAGGCAGGAGGATCACTTGACCCCAAGAATTAGAGCCAGGTGGGCGTGCAGGCTGGGACAGAGGCCATTGGAGGCCATTGTACTCTACTGGGGTGACAGAGGGAGACCTTGTCTAAATTTTAAAAAGAAAAAACAAAACAACTGATGCTCTGTCACCATGAAGCACCAACTCCTCATTTTCCTCCTCCCAGACTCTGGCAGCCGCCATTCCAGAGATGGATTTGACAGCTGTACACACCATGTTATTTATCACCATCCATAACAAGGCCTGGGAAGTCCCTCCCGCCCCTTTCCTCATGTCAGTCAGTGTTTCCAGCGTCAGTTTCACACTTCTGGAAATGGAAGCATATGGTCTGTGTGGCTTCTCTCAGTGAAGGAAATACTTTTGGGATTCATCTGCAATGTTGCTTTCCTACAGCCTGATTATAAATGTCTGTGTGGTGTTGCATTTCATGGGTCTATAGTGGTAGGTGAACCAATTCTCTCTCTCCCTCCCTCCGTCCCTCCCTCTCTCTCCCACTCTCCTTCTCCTTTTCTCTCTCTTTCCTTTCTCCCCCCTCTGTCTCTCTCTTTCCTCCCTCTCTCTCTCTCCCCCCCCCTTTATCTCTTTTTCCTCTTCCCCTTTCTCCCTCTTCCTCTCTCTCCCTCTCTCCCTCCCTCTCTCCCCCTTTCTTCCTCTCTTCCCCCTTTCTGCTTCTCTCTCTCCTCTCTCTCTCCCTCTCCTACTCTCTCTCTCCCCCTTCTCCCTCTCTCTACCCCTGTCTCCCTCTCCCTCCATCTCCTTCCCTCTCTTTCCTCTCTCTCCCTCTCCTCCCCTCTCCCTCTCTCTTCTTCTCTTTCCCCCTTTCTCCCTCTCTCCCCCAAACTCCCTCCCCTCTCTCCCTTCTTCCTCTCTCTCCCCTCTTTCTCCCTCCTTCTCTCTCTCTCCCTCTCCCCCCTTTCTCTCTCTCTCTCCTCCATTTCTCCCCCCCTTCTATAGACACAAGGTATCACTGTGGTGCCAAAGCTGGTCTAGAATGCCTGGGCTCACGGGATCCCCCTGCCTCAGCCTCTGGGGTAACTAGGACTACAGGTGTGCACCCCCACACCTGGCTCCTATGCACTTTTTTTTTTTTTAGAGGCAGAATCTCACTTTATTGCCCTTGGTAGAGTGTTATGGCATCACAGCTCACAGCAACCTCCAAATCCCGGACCTAGGTGATTATCTTACCTCAGTCTCCCGAGTAGCTGGGAACACAGGCGCCTGCCACAATGCCTATTTGTTGTTGTTGTTGTTGTTGTTGCAGTTTGGCCGGGGCCGGGTTTGAACCCGCCACCCTTGGTATATGGGGCCCGCGCCCTACTCACTGAGCCACAGGCACCACCCTCCTATGCACTTTTAATACAGGTTTCAGATTATTTTATTTCCTATATTCTTATGACATTTTATAACTTAGAAATGTACCTACGGCTCGGCGCCTGTGGCTCAAGTGGCTAAGGTGCCAGCCTCATACACCTAAGGTGGCGGTTTCGGATCCAGCCTGGGCCTGCCAAACAATGATGGCTACAACCAAAAAAAATAGCCAGGTGTTGTGGCGGGCGCCTGTGGTCCCAGCCACTTGGGAGGCGGAGGCAGGAGACTCGCTTGAGCCCAGGAGTTGGAGGTTGCTGTGAGCTTTGATGCCATGGCACTCTACCCAGGGGGACAGCTTGAGGCTCTGTCTAAAAAAAAAGAAAGAAATGTAGGTAGAGAACAGTGTGACAGCTGTCTGGCTGCTAAACCCAGCAATGTCAGCATTTCTCCCTTTTTCCTTCAGATTAGAAAACTACAGGTACAGGCCTCTGGCTCTCATGCGCCTTCTCTCTGGAGGCGGCTGCCACTTAGCTCTGTGACTGTCTTCCTGGGGCTGTAATAACTGCTTTACTCTGTATTTGAGTCTTCATGTACAACAGATGGCTTTATTGTTTGCACTTTCAAACACATAGAAGTATCATCATAATATAACTGTCCTTTTTTAATTTCTTTATTTTCACTGTCTAGCCTGTTTGTCCTTTTTTTTTTTGCAGCTTTTTTTTTTGGCCGGGCCCAGGTTTGAACCCGCCACTTCCAGTATATGGGGCCAGAGCCCTACTCCTTTGAGCCACAGGCACTGCCTGTTTATCCTTTAAAAATAATTTTTTTTTTTTTTTTGAGACAGAGCCTCAAACTGTCACCCTGGGTAGAGTGCCGTGGCATCACAACTCACAGGAACCTCCAACTCCTGGGCTTAAGCGATTCTCTTGCCTCAGCCTCCCAAGTAGCTAAGACTATAGGCAGCCACCACAACACCTGGCTATTTTTTTTTTTTTTGGTTGTAGTTATCATTATTATTTGGCAAGCCTGGGCTGGATTCAAACCTGCCAGCTCTGGTGTATGTGACTGGGGCCTTAGCTGCTTGAGCTACAGGCGTCGAGCCAAAAAGAATTTTTTAAAAAATGAGCCAGGCTGGGTGCTAGACACTTCCACATTGCACAGAAGATGTTATAAAATGCAAATGTAATCCCAGCACTCTAGGAGGCCAAGGTAGGTGGATTGCCTGAGCTCACAGGTTCGAGACCAGCCTAAGCCAAAATGAGACCTTGTCTCTGAAAATAGCCAGGTGTTGTAGTGGGCACCTGTAGTCCCAGCTACTTGGGAGGCTGAGGCAAGAGGGTCACTTGAGCTCCAGGGTTTGAGGTTGCTGTTAGCTATGATGTCATGGCACCCTACCCAGAGCAGCAGAGTAAGACTGTGTCTGAAAAACAAAATAAAACAAGGCTCGGCGCCTGTGGCTTAAGTGGCTAAGGCACCAACCACGTACACCCAAGGTGGTGGGTTCAAATCCAGCCCGGGCCCGCCAAACAACAATGACAGCTGCAACCAAAAAATAGCTGGGCATTGTGGCGGGCATCTGTGGTCCCAGCTACTTGGGAGGCTGAAGCAAGAGAATCGCTTGAGCCCAGGAGTTGGAGGTTGCTATGAGCTGTGATGCCACAGAATTCTACCCAGGGGTACAGCTTGAGGCTCTGTCTCAAAAAATAAAATGAAACAAAACAAAACAAAACAAAACCCCCCAAACAAGACAGGATCTTGCTATGTTGCCCAGGCTGGTCTTCAAACTCCTGGCCTCAAGCAGTCCTCCCACCACAGCTTCCCAAGTAGCTGGGACTGTCGCTAGACATTGCCATGCTTTCTGGCCTGTTTATCTTTTGCATGCAAATGAGCTGGGTATCCAGTTTACCTGTTCCATAGGTTTCTGTCATGTGAATAGACTTTATTCAGCCCCTGATGGCTGTTAGCTGACAATTATACTACATGAAGCAGTATAGCAATGAAAATCCTAGTAGACACTCCCACACTGCACGGGAGAGTGTTATAAAATGCAAAATCTCAGGCTCCACCCCAGGCCTGCTGAGTCTAGAATCTGTGTTTTAAGAAGTCCAGGAAGAGTGGCACCTATGGTTCAGTGGGTAGGGTGCCAGCCCCATATACCAAGGGTGGCTGGTTCAAACCTGGCCCTGGCCAAACTGCAACAACAACAAAAAATAGCCAGGTGTTGTGGTGGGCGCCTGTAGTCCCAGCTACTAGGTAGGCTGAGGCAAGAGAATCGCTTGAGCCCAAGAGTTTGAGGTTGCTGTGAGCTGTAATACCATGGCACTCTACCAAGGGTAACAAAGTGAAATTCTGTCTCAAAAAAAAAAAGAAAAGTTATCAGTTTAACCATTTTTAAGCATTCACTTCTGTGGCAATAAGCACATTCAGTGCCATGCAGCCATCACCACCCTCCATCTCCAGAACTTTTTCTTCTTCTCAGACAGAAGCTCTGTCCTCCTCCCAGCCCCTGTCACCCACCATTCCACTTTCTGTCTCAAGGAATCTAATGATTCTGAGGACCTCATGTGATCCACTTACATGAATCATACAGTATTTGTCCTTTTGTGTCTGGCTTATTTCACTGAGCATGACATCCTTAAGGTTTGCCCATGTTGTAACATGCCAGAATTTCCTTTCCTTTTATGGCTGGGTAATATTTCATATTATGGACGAATCATCCATCTACTGCTTCATCCATCAACGGATGCTTGGGTTGTTTCTGTTTTTTAACTATTGGGAATAATGCTACAATGAACATTGGTGCAGACATATCTGAGTCCTTGCTTTCGATTCTTTTGGGTATGCACCTAAGATTGGAACTGCTTTATCACAGGGCAACTGTACGTTTGATTTCTGTGGAACCACCAAACTGTTTTCCTCAGTGGCTGGACCACTGTACCTTCCTACTGACAATGTATGGGGCTCTAGTGTTTTGACATCCTTGCCAAAAGTGATTTGGGGAGTGTCCAGTTCTATGAATTTTAACACACATGTATACCCATGTACCTCACTGTACCCAGGTCACAGGACAGCCCCCTCACCTCAGAAGTCTCCACAGCCACACTTGCCCTCCACCACCAGCCCAGTAGCTGATTGGTTTTCCACCTCAATGACATAGCCATTATGAGGACATCTTCAGAATGGAATCAGTCAGTTTGTCAGCTTTCGAGGCTGGGCCCAGGAGATTCACCCTGAGTGTCAACAGTGCACTCCACTTTACTGCTGGGTGACATTTCATTATGTGAATAAAACACAAATTTACCCATCACTTGTAGAAGGATATTTGATCCATTTTCATTTTAGGTAGATTATTAATAAAGCCAGTATCCCAGCCTGAGTGAGAGTGAGACCCCGTCTCTTAAAAAAATAGCCAGCCATTGTGGCAGGCGCCTATAGTCCCAGCTACTTGGGAGGCTGAGGCAAGAGAATCACTTATGCCTGAGAGTTTGAGGTTGCTGTGAGCTGTAACACCATAGCAGTCTACTGAGGGTGACAAAGTGAGACTCTGTCTCAAAAAAAAAAAGGTCTTCTAACCCAGGTACATTTATTTAGTTTTTTGAGTGTCCTTTGCAACTTTCCCTGGAAAGGTCTGATATCACCTGTGTTAGGTATATTTCTATTTACTTTACAATTTGTGTTGCTACAGTGACAGGTGCCACCTAATAACATCAGTTTCTAATTTGTTGTTATTTGTCTGCAGGCTGTTGGTTCTTCATCCTGGCAGATTGCCTCAGAATTCCTTGGATTTTCCAGGGAGATGGCCCTATCATCTGCTTCTTCTAACCCTTATCTGCCTATCTCTTCCTTGTCACACTGTGTTGGCCATTACAACATAAAGTACATGGTGGTATGTGGTTCCCAAAAGCAGCCAGAGGCAAACGCTAATGTAAGTGTTTTCTCAGGAAAGGTGGGGGTGGTGGCAGGGGGCAAAGGCAAGCTGGCTTTACCCAGTTGGCCACAGTCACCTCCAGGGAGGCACTGGAGGCACTGCAGCTCAGAACAGTCTCCGAGGAGCGAGGAGAGCATTTCAGCTGCAGTCTTTCATAGGTCAAAGTTCGCTTCGGGGGAGTTAAGGTCCCTGCCCCTCTGGGCACCCCCTGGGAAGGCCAGTGAAGTTGGACCAGGGACAGAAGCTTCCAGGGATCATGAGGTCAAACAAAGCCTACCCTCCCTGGGCTGACAGGGTGTGCAGGCAGGGCCAAGCAGAGGTGGGGGGAGATTGGGAGAAAGGCAAACCAGACCCTAGAATTACGAGGCAGTATTCTACAGCATCCCAGCATGAATCAGGGGCTCCCCCCGCCCCAAAGCTGTCATCCAGGCTCTCCCATACCACCCTTAGGTTACTTGGGCATCATGTCACACAGGCATGAAGGCTCACAGCCCCATACTCCCCTCACTGAAGTGTCAAATCCCAGATTCACACTTTTAATACCCCTTTTCCTTAAAGCCATCAAATCAGCACCCATGGGACAATGGGCAGTGGAAGTGCCCAGGGTGGGCTTTGTTCTAAGCCTGTGGAGGCCAACACAGCTCCATCCTGGCTTCTGAATGCCCCAGGAATGTGTCCAGATCTCCATTTTATCCAGTTGCTGTTACCATAACCCTCCCCTAGGCAGCTTCACAGAGGCACCTGGACCCTCCTGCCTGCTCCTTCTCTGTTGCATCTAAGCACTGGGGCTGGTGGCCGAGGGACCACAATCTTACTGTAAGACATGGCTTCTATTCATATGTTCCTATTAAATGCTTCTTTTTTTCTAAAACTTTTTCGTTTTTATGAGATGGTCTCTGTTGCCTGGGCTAGAGTCCAGTGGAGACATCCTAGCTCACAGCTCAAACTCCTGGGCTCAAGGGATCCTCTTGCCTCAGCCTCACCAGTAGCTAGGACTACAGGCATCTGCTACAATGCCTGGCAAGTTTTTCTATTTTTAGTAGAGATGGGGTCTCACTTTTGCTCAGGCTGGTCTTGAACTCCTGAGCTCAGGCAGTCTTCCATCTCAGCATCCCAGAGAGCTGGGATTATAGGTGTGAGACACTGTGCCCAGCCATACTTATTTTTTTTGAGACAGAGCCTCACTATGTTCCCCAGGCTGGAGTGCCGTGGCATGATCATAGGTCACAGCAGCTTCAAACTCCTAGGCTCAGGCAATGCCCCTGCCTTAGCCTCCTGAGGAGCTGGTTTATTTTTATTTCTGTACAGATAGGTCTCACTATGTTGCCCAGGCTGGTCTTGAACACCTAGCCTACAAGGCTCAAATGCCATGCCCACAGTGGGTGGTGGGCCCCTTTGGAGAGCATGACATTCCTGTTCTTGGCTCTATCTGGTCTTGCAGACTTCATCTGGAGATCTGCCTTCATCCAAGGGATCTTTAGGCCGCAAACCAACCCAGCCTCCTTCACGAGGCCTCTGGCATCAATAAGGAAGGTGGTCTCCTCCACTTTACAGACGCAGACCCTGCAGATACCCTGCCCTTCTCAGGTGAGGGGCCTGCCCCTTAAGCAGGAATAGCTCTCCCATGACAGTCAGCCATCCACTGGGTCTTGCCATATTGCGGTCCTGGATACGAGTCTAGACACAAGGCTGCAGAGCACACAGAGCTGTGTGGGAGCCATCCAGCTGGGGCCACCATGTGTGGGAGAATGACTCTGATGTCCCCTTGGCACCCAGACTTCTGCCCTTACTCTATTGATCCAGGTGCATATCCACATGACCTGACTGCCCTGGGACCCAGCCAGCTGCATGATTGTCGGCAGCCTTGAGCTTCCTCGGCACTGACTGAAGTTGTTGCCAGAAACACCAGGAGCAAACATGTCACAGAGCAGGATACTGGCTGCCACTCAGATGAGCCTATCCCATGTACCTGGGTGGGATGCCCTTTCTCTCCCAGTCTATGCAAGTTCCCTGCACATGCTGCAGGCAGATACCTGGCAGCTAGGCTTCCTCATAGGAGTCCGACCAGCCGTACTTCTGGAGAGCTTGAGGCCGTCCTCACTGGGCACATCCTGTCACAGCTGCTGGGGTGACAGTAGTGGGTTTGGCTGTATAGATAGCATCTTAGCCCTCTGCATGGGAGACTGTCAGCAAGGAGCACAGCTGTGCTTTCTCCATGGGTTGTGGGGACTCTCCAAGTCCTCTATCCTGTAGGAAAGTGAACAGCAGCTTGGCTCCGCTTGGCCAGCTTGTCCTGGCCCAAACTCCGGTCACTCAGCCTGTAACCACAGACTGAACTCACTTTTGTGACCAGGCGGCCTAAGAGGAGGGGGGTGGGGGTGCCCCTGCTGGGTAGCATTCACTGGTGAGCTTAAGCTTACCTTGTTCCCTCCGATTCTGCTTTTGTGCTGAGGTGGTGTGTTTGTTCTGATTCATGAATGGGTGTTAAATTTTATGAAATGCCTTTATTACATTTAGTGAGACAATTGCATTTTTCTTCTTTTATTCTAAGAACGTGGTGAATTGCAATGATTGCACTTTGTCAGTCCTTCCTGATCATGATATATTTGCTGATATTTTGTTAGATTTTTGCATTTGTGCATGAGATATTTTGACATACAGGTTTTCTTTCCTGCTATGCCTTTGTCTGATTTTTTGTTTGTTTTCTTTTGTCTTGTTTTTGAGACGGGATCTCACTCTGTTGCCCAGGAGCACAGTGGTGTCATCACAGCTCACTGTAGCCTCAAACTCCTGGGCTCAGCTTCCCGTGTAGCTGAGACTGTAGGCACCCACAAGCATGCCCAAATCATTTTTTGTGTGTTTTGTAGAGATGGGGGTCTCTCTATGTTGCCCAGACTGGTCTGGAACTCCTGACTTCAAGCAACCTTCCCACTTGGGCCTCCCTGATTGCTGGGATCACAGGCACGTGCCTCTGTGCCTGGCCTCATCTTTACTTCTGACTGTTTCTGTGACTAATTTTGCTGATACTTAATCACCCTTTCATGCCTGGAATGAACCCAACCTGGCTATAGTGTATTTTTATGTGGATACACTGGTGGATTCCATTGATTAATATTTAGAAATTTTTGCATCTCTTTTCTGAGTTAAATTTGGAGGGATTCTTGGATAATAGTGTTGTAGCTCAAATACACATCACCTCTCCTCTCTGCTAACTCTGACTTCAGCCCAGTCCAGCCTCTACTCTCTACCTCCTAACTCTGGGTTTGATGAGAACTTGGCAGCTGGAGCCCCTGGTCTACGGAAGGATTAGACCACAGAGAGCTGTGGGACAGAGCAGTATTTAGCACCCATCCTCACATCCTGTGTTTATCAAACCCCAGAGCGAGTGACACCGAGAGTGAGCTGAACATGCACTGTGGGCTTCAGGTGGCCACAGCGTGGTGATTGTGATGTGTGAATCAGGCTCCTGGACAGTAACAAAGGCTCCACTCTGGTGGGGATGTGGGCAGTGGTGGTGCTGGGGCTGTGCATGTGTTGGGGAGGAGATGATGTGGGAAATGTTTGTACTTTCTGCTTTTGCTGTGAACCTGAAATTGCTCTGAAAAATAAAGCCTATTAAAGCACAGTTGTGGACGAAATGAAGGAGAGACGGTGACTGCCAAGACCCAAATTAGTGGTCTGAAGGATGGAGTGGAAGACCTCAAGTCGTAGACATGGATTCTACAAACCCTGATGCCGGGAGAGCACAGAGCTGGGCACAGACACAGAGTGCAGCAGCTTGGAGGCCACTTGGAGGCAAAGAGATAGAGGCAGAGGGAGAACTGATCCTGTGAAGAAAATTTCCTAAAGCTAAAGGAAGAGCAACATCTGCCTGTTGAGAGTATAGCCCAAGTTTCAGGTGGAATTGATGGACTTCTGTGAACTTCCAGGCAGAAGGGACAGGAACCCATCTCTTGGGAAAGACGCCACAAAGCAGCCGTGGCACGGAGCAGTCTTTCCGAGGGGACAGAACTCTGCTGTGGAGAGAGAAACTCCCTGAACACACAGGGACACGTGGGTCATGACAGGGAGGTGATGAGACAAAGGCAGAAGAAGAAATCCCAGCAAAGCTAGTGACTGTGGGTCCAGAGTTATAGGCACCAAAAGGCTGGAGGGAGAGTTGTGCTGAAAGGCACATTCTGCAAAAGCTGCGACAGGCATCAGGCTGTGTGCACCAAGTGCCACAGCACCTAAATTGATATGCAAGAATGACAAGAGATAGAAAAGAGGTTGGTGAAAATGGACTACGGGGGAGGCTCTAACATCTTTCTGAGTTGGGGATATTTTTAGAAAAAAAGAAAAAGGCTGGCAGACAGAGGAGGAGGAGGAAGGGGAGAAGGAGGGGAGGAGGGAAGGAAATGTCTGTGGAAAACAAGCATATTCCGGGGTGCCAGCACTGATTGCTCTTAGCTCTCAGCCACCTCTAGGAGATGACCATGGGAACAGTGACAGTAGTCACGAAAACATCTTTGTACTGAAAAAGCTGCTTTAATGTCTGCCGAAATAGTCAAGTTCACCAAAGCGAGGCTCCGCTGGACACTACCGAGAGACACTACTGAGACACCATTTTGGACTTCTTCATAATAATGTATGACCCTTCACCTTTGATCCCCTGACCTGCATTACCTTGGTAACCATTTCATTTTTATTTTTATTTATTTATTTATTTATTTATTTATTTATTTTTTGAGACAGAGCCTCAAGCTGTCCCCCTGGGTAGAGTGCCATGGCATTACAGCTCACAGCAACCTCCAACTCCTGGGCTCAAGAGTCTCCTGCCTCCGCCTCCCAAGTAGCTGGGACCATAGGCGCTCGCCACAACGCCCGGCTATTTTTTGGTTGCAGCCGTCATTGTTGTTTGGCGGGTCCAGGCTGGGGATTCGAACCCGCCACCTTAGGTGTACGTGGCTGGCGCCTTAGCTGGTTGAGCTATAGGCGCCAAGCCATTTCATTTTTAAATTTCATTTCATTTTTTAATTTTGATATACAGATGTAACATTTCATCTTTCATCTCTCAAAGTGTAACATGCAGATTTCCTCAAATAGAGATAACCCTCTGAGTGATAAATTTGCAAAAAAGAAGAAAAGACTACAAGAGGAATCAAATAACATGATTGACAAGCCCAAATGTTTATTTTTGAAACTGGCCCCAGATCCTGGTGCCTCTAGAACAGTGGTTCTCAACCTTCCTAATGCTGCGGCCCTTTAATACAGTTCCTGTGGGTCGCGACCCACAGGTTGAGAACTACTGCTCTAGAACCTTCCATCTCTATTTCTCTTATGTGCTGATTGTTGTGCCAGCCACCACCACCACAATTTCCTAAAAATTTTGGCTTCTGCTTGTCACTACTCTCTCCAACACAATTTCTGGGCTGATTCCTTGTGGTTTTTCCACAGAAGTGGTCCTTCCACACCCCTGGATTCTCCCATCTTGACCCCGGCCCCAGACTCCTATGCTGATACCCAGGGCCTGCTCCTCGCCGAGAAGACTCATGAGAAGGTGGTTTTCACTTTCTGTGCCTGGCTTATTTCACTTAATATAATCTCCTCCAAGCTCATCCTGTTTAAGGTGGGCCGTTTCTTGTTTCTTTAGGGTGTTCACAGAGCTGCCATCGCCATCACCATGACGCCTTGAAATGGAAGCCATTCAAGGTTTTCTCACCCATTCTCTGCATGCAGAGGCTGCTCCAGGTGGCCTTGGGCCTAACCGTTCTCTCTCTTTCTTGTTTGTAGTTCTCACAAATATCTTAGAATGGCCAGGTGCAGAGGCTCACACCTGTAATCCTAGCACTCTGGGAGGCCAAGGCAGGTGGATCACTTGAGCTTAGGAGTTGTGGGAGACCAGCCTGAGCAAGAGTTAGACCCAGTCTCTAAAACTAGCCAGGCACTGTGGTGGCCACCTGTAGTCCTAGCTACTCTGGAGGCCAAAGCAGAAGGATCCCTTGAGCCCAGACGTTTGAGGTTGTTGTGAGCTATAATGCCATGGCACTCTACCGAAGGCAACAAAGTGAGACTGTCTCAAAAAAATAATAAATAAATAAATAAATAAAAGAATATCTTAGAATGAGCTGAACAGACATTACTCAAAAGAAGACATATAAATGGCCAACAGGTATATGAAAAAATGCTCAACCTCACTAATCATGAGGGACATGCAAATCAAGCCATAATGAGATATCATCTCACCCAGTTAGAATGGCTATTAAAAAGATAAAAAATAAGAACAACAGATGCTGGAGAGGGTGCTCAGAAAGAGGAATGCCTGTGCCTTGCTGGTGGGAACGCAAATTAGTACAGCCATTATGGAGGTTCCTCAAAAAACTAAATACAAAACTACTATATGACCCCCAAACCCCACTCCTTTGCATTTATCCAAAAGAAAGGACATCAGTATGTTGAAGGGACCCTGAACCCCGTGTTACTGCAGCACCAGTCACAGCAGCCAAATATGGAAGTGACTGACATGTCCACCAACAGATGAGTGGGCAACGAAGCCATGGTACAGACACACTCCATTTGACCAGAAAAAGAGCAAAGTTCTGTCACATGAGGCAACATGGATGAGCTTGGAGGAGATTATATTAAGTGAAATAAGCCAGGCACAGAAAGCGAACACCACATTCTCATTAATATATGGAAGCTGCCGGGCACGGTGGCTCCCACCTGCGATCCCAGCAGGCAGGAGAATCCTTTGAGCTCAGGAGTTTGAGACCAGCCAGAGCAAGAGCCAGATCCCATCTCCACTAAAAATAAAAAAGTGACTGGTATTGTTGTGGTCACCTGTAGTCCCAGGTACTCAGGGACTGAGACAGGAGGATCACTTAAGCCCAGGAGTTTGAGGTTGCTGTGAGCTGTGATACCACAACATTTTACCGATGGTGACAAAGTGAGATTCTGTCTCAAAAAAAAAAAAAAAATCACACTGTACCCCACAAATAAGTACAACTACTATCTGTCAATTGAAAATAATAATAAAAGAAAAAAAGGGCTCAGCGCCTGTAGCACAGTGGTTATGGTGCCAGCCACATGCACCAAGGCTGGCAGGTTCGAACCCAGCCCTGGCCAGCTAAACAACAATGACAACTACACCAATAACAACAACAACAAAAAAAACCCAGGCATTGTGGTAGACACTTGTAGTCCCAGCTACTTGGGAGGCTGAGGCAAGAGACTCATTTAAGCCCAAGAGTTTGCGGTTGCTATGAGTTGTGAAGCCACAGCAGTCTACCCAGGGGACAACATAGTGAGATTTGGTCTGAGAAAAAAAAAAGAAAAAGAAAAAGAGAATAGGTCCAGGCTTGGTGACTCACGCCTTTAATCCAAGCACTTGGGAGGCTGAGGTGGATGGATTGCCTGAGCTTGCAGGTTCAAGACCAGCCTGAGCCAGAGCGAAACCCCTGTCTCTAAAACTAGCCAGGCATTGTGGTGGACACCTGTAGTCCCAGCTACTTGGGAGATTGAGGCAAGAGAATCGCTTAAGCCCAATAGTTTAAGGTTGCTGTGAGCCATGATACCATGGTACTCTAGTGGCATAGTGAGACTATCTCAAAAAGAAAGAAAGAAAGAAGGAAAAAGAGAGCTACAGAGAGTAGCTGTAGAATATGCTGAGCTAGGGAAGGGCTGCAGAACAGCCTGGCTT